TATCCCTTAGCGAGCTTGTATTTTCCAGGTTTGAAATTATATCCGTTTGGTGCTGAGCCATAAAGCTAAATAGGTTCGGGTCAGTATTTCCTTCCTTGAACTTTCTAATAGCTTCTTTATATCTGTCACTAAAGTCAAGAGTATCTGGGTAACCATATCTTCTTAAGCATTTTTAAGAATTCTTGGTTTCCTTGTTCTCTACTTCTTTTATGTCCTTGCTCTGTTTGTGGTTGTTGTGTGTGCAGTGTTTTGAACTGTTGGTTGTGTGCTGGTTGTGGAGTGGTTGTTGTGCTGGTTGTTGTGGTGCAGTGTTTTGAACTGTTGGTTTTGGTGCAGGGTTTTGAACTGTTGGTTTTGGTTGTTGTTGTGCTGGATTTTGAACTGTTGGTTGTTGTGTTGGTTGTTGTTGTGGTGCATGCCTGTGTCTGTGTCCATGTGACGATGTAAATGTTTTAGGTAGTCCTGGTGCAGGTGCTTCTCTTGGAGGGTTTGGTGGTATATAAGTTCCACTAGCTAGTATATAAGTTCCACCAGCTGGTATATAAGTTCCACCAGCTGGCACATATGTTCCATCTGCAGCATAATGTCCTACCTGACTTTTCGTTTTTAAGAAAGCATTTACTAGGTCTGTTTTGGTCTGTTGTAACTCTTTTTCTTGACTTTCCACAACAGTTGCTCTAACGGCGTCATAGGCACTTTGAACTGCCTGTCTCGTTGCTGCATCTGTTATTTTCGTTATATTTTGTGCTACTTCTTTTAACTCTTTGTCGAAACCTTCAGACTTCAGTTTCTTTCCAGATGAGAAGTCGTTCACTTGTTTCACCTTACTATGAAGAGCTTCGAAGGCGTTCTTAAAGTCAGCATTTGTTAAAGCTTCATTTGAACTGTCTTCATCCGCTTGTATTTTTGTCCTTATTGACCCTATAAGCTGGGCTGCTTTAGCGTTGGCTTGGGCATCTAACCAGTCATTGTTAGCTTTTATATATTCTGCGCTTTTCATTGCCTTTTGCATGGCTGCGTCGTTATTTTTACTTTCTTGTGCTAAGTTTTCATACTGTACGGTTTGGTTTTGCAACTGTAAAAGTTTTTCTGCCTTTACATTTGCTTCAACTTCTTTTTTATACTCATCGCTATCCATATATGTCTTCAGGGCTTTTTGTTTTATCTCTTCATCTTTCAGTACTTTATATGAGTAGTATGGTTTTTCAAATTTACAACATCTTGTTCCATTTTTGCTACTTCTGCTGCTTTTTCTGACACTTTTTTCGCATATTCCTCTGTACTTAGTTCTTTCAGTTGTTCTTCTTTCTTCTTTTTCTCTACGTTTAACTCATTGAGTTTCTTTGTGTGTCTGTCATATTCTAGTTTCTTTTCGTTTTCACTTATTTGCTTCTGTATGTCTATGTTTGACTTTTTGACATCTGATATTTGATTTTTGAGTGAACTCAAATTCATTTGACTTTGAGGGTTATAGGCTGTTCCGTCTGCAGCTCCACCATAGCCTGCCATTTTCGCTAAAAGTGCCGCTCTTAAACCTCCACTCTGTGCACCAAAAACTCGGTTTAAGAGCATAGGATTGCTTGACATTTGTTGCAACATAGTGGGGTCATTCATCATTTGTTGTTGCAACTGTTGTTGTGGTGTCAGTTTTACTATTGGATGTTTCAATGCTCTCTTCCTCTTACGTATATTCTTACGTAGCTTACGTGGCATTTTAAGTGAAGTTAAAAAGCGGTTTTTGACAGATGTTTATATGACACTTTTTGTTCAGCACAAAAAACTACTCGGTCAAAGTGTTGTCAGTTTTGTAAAATAACCGTCCTATCTTGTTTTAAAATGGAGAAAAGTCTTCTCAAAGTATACTTCCTTGGAACGCCCGTAACTTTTCCTGTAGCGACGATAGACCCTTACTTGTCCGGACAAAGTTATACTATTTTGAGTGCTCTACAAAAAAAGTCAACGGCGACGACTCTCAAAAACCGTTGTGTAAAAAGTTTTACCGTTGGACAAAAAAGTATATATAGAAAAAAAAAACGTTTTAGTTCATTCAATATTTGAGATGGAACGGTTTGCCAACGGTAACTATTAAATAAAATAAAAAAATAGAGGGGGTCTCCGTTGACGAAAACGGTTTATTTTAAACTTTTCTATGAGTAGTCCGAAAAAAACAGTTTATTTTTCATAATGGAAGGAAGAAAAAGTGTCGCAAACAATTCGTCGACTACCTCTGCAGTTAAAGTTCCTACAACTTATGTCTCACCATTCTCAAAACCCTTACGACCTCCTATAATACCAAAGCAAGTTCCTCGTACAATTCAAGACAATTTGTCCAACAATATGCATTTGCACAAAGAAACAGCTCAGCCAACAGGTCAGGCAACAACAACTATCGGAACAGAAGCATTTTCAGAAGAAGTTCATACCAATCAGACTCCAATCGAACATACAGAAACACAACCACCCGAAAATACAGAAACACATCCAATCGAACATACAGAAACACATTCTGCAATGACCACTAGGTCGCAAACACGATATCTCGCCTTTTGCAAACAATTTAAGTCTCAAATTCAAGACACACAAGATAGCGACACTCCTCTTTCAGAGAAAGTTCGTAGAAAATACGCAAAGAAAAGGTTAGAATTGTTAGATAAGCTAAATGAACAATGGGGTTCAGAAGACAATCGAGATTATAACGAGATGTTTCAAGCTGTCATGGATGCCATTCAGCCTCTTGAAAACGAAATAAAAGACCCTGGCGTACTTGTTGACATGTTTGCTTCATATTTACCCGTTACTGCCAATCTCATAGCGTTGCAAGCTATTGACCAGTTCATTCACTTGTTTCCAAAGAACTTGCAGAAGCATTTACAAGAAGTTAAAGTTGCTGAATTTGTCCGTTTATATCCAAATTCATACAATTATTTGGAAGAATTGAATGAACATGGTGAAAGGTCATTCTATTTATATTTCTACACAAAAGACAACCAGTCAAAACGACTATACTGCATTGAACCTATGCCTCAATTCGTAGACAATTTCCACGTTATAACAACTGTTGCTTTAGATATTCCTGCCAGAGTTCCATATGGAGGAACAGTAACTATCTCAAGCTTTCCCAAGGGCTATAAAGGAAAGCCTCTCACAATTGCAAAATTCACACACAGCAGTTGCCAATTTGTTCAAGATGTCGAGTTCCATTTCCTCAACAATACGACTTTCATCATAGAGACTCCTCAAGAAGGTATATACAAAGTTTTCATCGCAGGATTTGTTGCTCCCAATGGCGAAGAAGAAGAAGTCGAAGAAATTCTCACCTCAGAGAGCGAAGAAGAAGAAGTCGAAGAAATCCTCACCTCAGAGAGCGAAGAAGAAGAAAATTTCCAAGACATTCAAGATTCAGAATATACCGAATAAAAAAACAATTTAAGACTAAAAATTTAATTTTATTATAATATTTTTATTTTTTTCATCTGGTCTTTGTATCATTCCTCCTCTAGTTTCTTAGGGGCTAGAGGGCGCAACGCGCCTGGAAGCCCCACTTACCTGACCTGATTTAGTTTCTATTCAATGTTAATATACTAATGGATTTGAAATATGAGAGATTTGTTAGATTCACAAAATATGAGAATCAAAATATGAGTTAATGATTATTTTGATTGTTGAGCAATGATATATATGGTGTGATAATATAATATATGTGTGAAATAAACTAGCTTATGCAAGAGAGTTTCAAATTACAATATGATTAAAGTTTTTGTTCTTCCACTGGTGTACTTCTTGGGATACTATAATCCAGATGAGGAAGAAAGGAGTGCGGGACTATTTGCAAAAAGGTGACATCTAAAAGGAATATAAAATTATCAAATATGAAATGAAAAACAATTTATTCGATGGATGCCTTGGCATAGTGGCTATTGTGGATATTAAGGATAACTGTGCACCTAGGTTTGATTCATATGGTGTTCATTTTTCAAAATTAGATAATATTTGCAAATATGTAGGTTTTTCTCAATTATTCAGCATTTCTAATAATAGAATTTACTTGTGTAAAAATATAATTGAAAGAAGAAGAAACCATCCAATATTATGAGATAAATAAAAGATATGACCGAGGTTATCTAAAAAATGCGAGAAATCATTACAGTATTTGCACGGCACTATATCAAAGTATTTGAAGTTATATGATAAGGTTCCCAACACAAGTATTGACGTCTATCATCTGTCAATTATTCACTTAAATTCAAAACAGTTATCACGAGCATCACGACCACACGAAATAAAGTCACAAACATACTGTAACTATTTGACATATGGAAAAGTTATGAATGATTATAGCGAGATTAAGTATAAATTATGTCACTTTTTGAGTTCACCGAATTCAAAAAAATCAGGCTGAGTTAGCAAATTTTCAGTAATTCTCCATCCGGCGAAACTGTTTTTAAATCCATAGTCAGTTTGGAGATGTAGGCAAGACGATAGCATTTTTTTTGGATTAGTGTCACTTATTTATTTATTTATTTTTTTTTCTGATTTTTACAAAAAATTTGAGAGAAAAAGTTCCAGAAAACTTTTGCAAAATATTTGAAGGCTAATGATTTAGCCTCTTGATAATGAAGTTTTTCAATTTATGAAAGTATATAAAGAAAAAAATTGTGTGAAGAAATATTTATCGTGATTTCCTAGAATATTATAATATTTTAGACATCAATGATTTGTGTAAATACAATTTTATAAATATGTGGATATTATCATGCTTAAAAATTCAAGAATCATCATATTTTCGAGATTTCCAGATTATATTATTTTACAGAATGGAGTTAGAACCTAGAATTCATAAGTTAAGCTCCAAATATGAATCTAAGTATATGTGTACGAATAGCTTATTCGTATTCATGCCTGTAAGAGTCGAATAGCTTCGAAATTGAGGGCTTTGGCAAACCGATTTCAGTAAACCCTTAAGAAAAATATTATATTTGATCAAACTATACGAGAAATGTTTATAAGATTATGAGATAAAATAGAAAAATATTGTATTTTGGATTTTCATCAAGATCTGAAATGTCTACTTCTTTTTTCTTGATAAAGTTAATGCATTTATCGTTGTTAGATATATCTTTTATTCTGTTGTTTATTGTAACTGATCCTTCTGTTTTTGGTGTTTCTACATCAATGAAACAACTATCAATTGTAATTTTACCTCTACTATATTCAAAGAAATATTTCCAAGTAACATTGTTATTTGCGAAACAACAATATTGTAAATATGCTGTAGCTGCATTTGCACATATTACACAATAATCAGTAATATTTTGGAAATTCGTTGACTCAATTCGAACTTTTGGAGATGGTGCTGTATATAAATAGACAGGAGGATAGTTAGTAACAATTTTATCTTTATTATCAAAAAACATCGAAAATAAAACTTTTGATTCAGATTTAAAATTACAAAATCCTAAAATACTATTTCCATATACTTTTGATTGAGAAACATTTGAATTTTCAAAATTAATTTTTCCATTTTTTAGGTGAATAGTGAATTGGCCAAGGAAACTTTCATCTCCACTATTAATGATTGAAGATGAAAGTATTTTGTTTTGGAATGATCCTTCATATGTAACATCTGAATAACAGTAAACTCCTTCTTTACGCTGTGATGTTATTTTTGATGAGTAACTTGTTATTCGATATTGGACACATTCACCTTCAGTGGAGAAGTATAAACTTCCTCCGAAACCGGAATTACTACAATTAACGAAGTTTGTTGTGTCAACTAAGAATTTAGTTGTACTTTTAGATGTACTAAAACGGATGGCTCCTGATTCAATGTTATCAGAAAATTCGCATTTGAGAACGTAGTAATTTTCATCACCTTTAGAAAGTCTTTCATTTTGTTTTACGTAACTTTCGTTAAGAGGGTATTGTGAATAATAGTCTTTCCAATCATAATGGAAAATAGTTGTCTAAAGCAAACAATTGTCGTGAAAATTCTTTCAACAATAAAATTCTTGCCTATTCAATTTTGATATCAACCCCTTTCTAAAATTCGGCGGTGTCACTTTTTACGAAAATCGCAAATTTTTGACATTTATCGTTCAAATTGAAATTCACTTTCAGGAAAGTGAATGAAAATGATTATTAAAAAAAAAAAAAAAAAAAAAGGTATTGGGGGTTCCAGGGCTGCGCCCCTCTACCCCCTTGAAGATGTTTAGTATGCAATGAAGTATAAAATGAGGTTTTTTTTGGGGTGTGGGTGCTTCCAGGCACTTCGTGCCTTCTAGCCCCTAAAATTTTTTGAAAGTCGTTGCTGTTGACTTGTTTGTAGAGAACTCAAAATAGTAGAACTATGTCCGGACAAGTAAGGGTCTATCGTCGCTACGTCACCAGGTCACCAGGTCACCAGGTCACCAGGTCATTTTAACTTCTCTGAAAAAATGAGACAACATGACATTTTGACAACAGTCCAGGAAGTCTTAACAAGATAGAATATGAGAGAGGTCCTATAAACCGGAGAAAGTGTCATACAAACATCTGTCAAAAGCCTCTTTTTAACTTCACTTAAAATGCCACGTAAGATACGTAAGAATATACGTAAGAGGAAGAGAGCATTGAAACATCCAATAGTAAGACTAACACCACAACAACAGTTGCAACAACAAATGCTGAATGACCCCACTATGTTGCAACAAATGTCAAGCAATCCTATGCTTTTAAACCGAGTTGTTGGTGCACAGAGTGGAGGTTTAAGAGCGGCACTTTTAGCGAAAATGGCAGGCTATGGTGGAGCTGCAGACGGAACAGCATATAAAACCCTCAAAGTCAAATGAATTTGAGTTCACTCAAAAATCAAATAGCAGATGTCAAAAAGTCAAACATAGACATACAGAAGCAAATAGGTGAAAACGAAAAGAAACTAGAATATGACAGACACACAAAGAAACTCAATGAGTAAACGTAGAGAAAAAGAAGAAAGAAGAACAACTGAAAGAACTAAGTACAGAGGAATATGCGAAAAAAGTGTCAGAAAAAGCAGCAGAAGTAGCAAAAATGGAACAAGATGTCATAAATTTGAAAAAACCATACTACTCGATATAAAGTACTGAAAGATGAAGAGATAAAACAAAAAGCCCTGAAGACATATATGGATAGCGATGAGTATAAAAAAGAATTGAAGCAAATGTAAAGGCAGAAAAACTTTTACAGTTGCAAAACCAAACCGTACAGTATGAAACTTAGCACAAGAAAGTAAAATAACGACGCGGCTATGCAAAAGGCAATGAAAAGCGCAGATATATAAAAGCCAACAATGACTGGTTAGATGCCCAAGCCAACGCTAAAGCAGCCCAACTCATAGGGTCAATAAGGACAAAAATACAAGCGGATGAAGACAGTTCAAATGAAGCTTTAACAAATGCGACTTAAGAACGCCTTCGAAGCTCTTCATAGTAAGGTGAAACTAGTGAACGACTTCTCATCTGGAAAGAAACTGAAGTCTGAAGGTTTCGACAAAGAGTTAAAAGAAGTAGCACAAAATATGACGAAAATAACAGATGCAGCAACGAGACAGGCAGTTCAAAGTGCCTATGACGCCGTTAGAGCAACTGTTGTGGAAAGTCAAGAAAAAGAGTTACAACAGACCAAAACAGACCTAGTAAATGCTTTCTTAAGAACGAAAAGTCAGGTAGGACATTACGCTGCAGATGGAACATATGTGCCAGCTGGTGGAACTTATATACCACCAAACCCTCCAAGAGAAGCACCTGCACCAGGACTACCTAAAACATTTACATCGTCACATGGACACAGACACAGGCATGCACCAAATCCAGCACAGCAACCAACAGTTCAAAACCCTGCACAACAACCACCTCCACAACCAGCACAGCAACCAACAGTTCAAAACCCTGCACAACAACAACCACAACCAGCACAGCAACCAACAGTTCAAAACCCTGCACAACAACAACCACAAACAGAGCAAGGACATAAAAGAAGTAGAGAACAAGGAAACCAAGAATTCTTAAAAAGGCTTAAGGAAGACTATGGTTACCCAGATAGTATTGACTTTAGTGACAGATATAAAGAAGCTATTAGAAAGTTCAAGGATGGAAATACTGACCCGAACCTATTTAGCTTTATGGTTCAGCATAAAATCGGATATAATTTCAAACCTGGAAAATACAAGCTCGCTAAGGGATATGATTTTAATAGCATATCATCCAAATGACATGGTGAATTTACTCCGAGATATTTGATGTCAGAGCTAAATGACAATTCAACTCCCGTCATGAAACGCGTAAAAAATAGAGACGGAACGAAGAAGAAAGGTTTATGAGTCCGGATGACTTAGAAAGGGAAGTTGTTTAAAACGGTCTCGGAATATATGAAATGCCAGCAGATGAGGTACAAGAAACTCCACAGGAAGAAGTTCAGATACAACCAGACATGGAAGAAATAGTTCAGCAACAACAGCTAGAAGAGCCTGAAGGAAACGAACAAGTCCTTCCTTTGGAAACTAACTTCACAGAACTAGATGAAGATTTGGAACAGCCGAAAAATCTTGACCCTCAACAAGAGTATGCGGAGAATATGGAATATTTCCAAGAGTCTAAAAAAAATTCGGCTGACATAGTAGAAGAATATCGAAAAATGTTTGCCGACATACAAAAGACTCCAACACCAGATGAAAATATTCAGCATAGAATGGAAGTACTGAAAGAAAATGTAAGCAAATACAACAACCCTTTTTACTTACGAGCATTTAACGTTCAATCTTCGGATGAACTCGGTGAAAATAAAAGGTTAAATTTCAAGAAAACATATAGAAATGAAACATTGTTTAAAGTTCATTCAGAACCTAACCAAGATGGAAAAAACCTACTTTTGTTTCTGCAGACGATGGAACTACAATGAGATGGGGTCATAAAGCTAACCCGGATAGGTGGTTCATAAACTTACAACCACAATTCCAAGAAGTTGTAGACGCAATGGAAGTCAATGGTGAACCAGATATAGCTGGTATTTTAAGCGCGGCTTTAATGCCATTGAAAGATATGAAACATGCAGATATTTTGGACCAGTATGAAATGAACATGGCTGATGGAAATATAACACCTGACGTTCTAGAACATTTATCTCAAAGAACTACACAGAACCATAGAGATGGTATATTTGGTGAAGAGTTTAGAAGAAAAAGTTAGGGAGGGAGAAGGAAGAGAACCTATTGTACATGACCTTGCAAACGAAAGTTTACAAAATGTCATAAAAACTTACTTTGCAGACAATGAACTGAGAAGGGATGAATATTTAAGAAAACTCAAATGGACAGTACCAAATGAAATGTTAGTATTGAAAAACATGTTCCTTGACAAAATAAAACCAACTACAGAAATAAACGACGCAAGACTGAAAGTTGGGTAAAAGCTTTCCCATTCACAAAAGATATAGTTGGTAACATGGAAAGAAAACCAGAATGGCTACAAAAACATATATTTGGAAACGAGCTTATTCCATATGGACAGGCACTGTTTGAAGAGCTTGAACCGGAAACTCAGGAACAGAGTCATGCAAACAATAGCGACGACTCAAATACAAACTATGACAAACTCTTTCTAGGATATAGGTTACCTGAGATGGGCGACCAGAGCCCAAAGGCAAAAAGGGCATGGAAATTTGCAACATACTAGATGAACATGAGGCAAAGATGCAACAACTTGAAGCAGAGGGCAAGTTACCAAAGCGACACCAAAGAAGAAGAGTAGAACAAAGTGAAAGTAGTGAAGAAGTAACTTCATCTAGTGAAAGTAGTGGCAATGAAGGAAAAAGAAGAGTTAAAAACTCAGTCAGGAAGAAAGTAAAGCTTGGTCCACGTGGGTTCTATTATGACACATAAACCCAACTATTCTATATTTTTACCCATATGAAATGTACGCCGCTCAGAATATAACACCAACAGTTTTGGATGCCATGAATGGAAATGTTTCCGAATGGTATAACGAATGCGACAATGCCATTAGAAGGTCAGAAATAGTTCCTGGAACTTACGAATATACAACTGCTGTTTCTTATGGAAACGTAGGTGAGTTTGGAGAAGGTTCTTCAACAACAGTAGATATTGCTTGCGACAGGTTTCATATAATTTCTATTGACAACTCTTTCTTATACGTGGAACAAGACATTGAAATAAAACCTTCTGCCAAGTTGTCTGACAAGAAAGGTTGCAATGGAATTTTCTATGTCGGATACCAATATGCTCCAGAAGTTTTCATGGGATATAAGATATATTCTAACTCTGACTTAGTTCAAACAGTAACATGGGCAAACTATGAATGGTTCGCTTTGAGAAACTCAGTACAACCACAAGCTAGAGAACAAACAGACCAGTATGCAACTATTGAGAAAATAAGAAGACTTG